GGCAGGCAGCGTACGTGGAATGGAGCTCATGAACAGGTCCGCTTCACTGACGGGAAATCTTATAAAAATCCCTTGAATGTTTCTCTCAGATCGTCTTATTAAGCGATCGTAGAAGTAATTGTGGCAGACTTACAAAGTTAAGCGACTGGGAGTAAGCCGGCTCGCTCGCCCGTGAACACTCATAATCGTTATTTTGTCTGCGGACTTACAGAATGTAACCACGGCCGATCTGCGTTCCGCCTGCTTTTCCGCCTAATGAAAGTTTACATTCATAACGAGATACGATAACTAAAATGAACATTAAATTAACAATAACTAAAATGAGAATTTAAACATACGATTCGTTACAGGTTATATTTTACTAGAGAATGATCGGTTTTTTTGTTTGTTGATAAATTGTGTTTTTTAGAAATTATATTTAAATACGAATTACATATTGATATTATATTATTTTTTATTGTCATTCAATAAAACAATAACGATTTTATGTTGAAGTTGATTATCGATAAAGTTGATTATTGAAAACACGAGTAAAACAACATTTTCTGAAAATGAATCGTAGCTAGATCGATTTACCGCCCCCGAAATCCCCTGTATACTAAATTTTATGAAAATCGTTGGAGCCATTTCCGAGATTCGGATTATGTATATTTATATACAAGAATTGCTCGTTTAAAGATATATATAAGATACCTTTTATTTAATTTAAAAAAAAAACTAATTTAGAATGAACAGATTTTTTATATGTCCATTAAAAAAGAATGAAATTACTTATTATCGCTTCTGTAAAATCCAAACTAAAACGACCATTGTCCGATGTCCGTGTCGATGAAACTGATTCGACATAAGAGTGAAGTTATCGAATGTGGAATACATTTGACTGTGCCCGTGACAGTTCTGGGATGTCGGAGGCGTATTCACATCGGCACGTTCCCTTTGCCTCTTGTCAATGTACGTGTCCACAATGGTCGGTCTAAAGAGGATACATACGAATTCTATCAATCTAGTAGCTACTGAATGAAGTCCGACGAGGACGTGTATCAATCTATTGTTGGATTAGGAGCTCGTTATATTGACGATATTGTAGGAGGCGTTATCATTTATTATTAAACTTTCACTAAATATTTATTTCCTTCATTGTAATTTTGATTACATTTATACTTTTTACTGTTCTTTAAATTATGAATTCGAGATGAAATATCAAAGTTTTATTGGTTTCGATAACACAACATCGTGGCATCACCGAAACTCATTAAAAGCAAACAGAAAATGTCGCCAAACAAATCGAATACAAATATGTTTGAGTCAATTTTATATTAAGGAGCGCTTCCTCGCCGACTTCCAGATTACTTATTGATTTCCATGAACATCTCTTTAATTTACTTTCGGGGCTTAAACAACAATTATAGTCAAAATTTCTGCTAAGCACTCATGTTAAGAGGTTAAATGCTACTTATTTACTGATTACTAATAATCACGATTTTATTCATAAGTAAATATTTTCAATGGTTTTATCTAATTTTAATCGGATTTAAAATATAATTTAAGACAGCTTTTGTACTTCTATTAAAACTAATTTTACGTTTTTAGTTTCGCATTTTTATTGTAATTTTACTATTTCCGATGCTTGGAAAACTTAAGTTACTTTTTGTGGTCAAGGATTTTTTTTATTGCTTAGATGGGTGAACGAGCTCACAGCCCACCTAGTGTTAAGTGGTTACTGGAGCCCATAGACATCTACGACGTAAACGCGCCACCCACCTTGAGATATAAGTTCTAAGGTCTCAAGTGTAGTTACGGCGACTGCCCCACACTTCAAACCGAAACACACTACTGCTTCACGGCAGAAACAGGTAGGGTGGTGGTACCTTACCGCGCGGACTCAGAAGAGGTCCTACCACCAGTATACACAACAGGTCCTACCACCAGAATAACCAGGATAACTGTACCTACTTAAATTAGAACAAATTTTTAATTTTCTCCAGTTGGATATTACGAAAAAATATATAATGTTTTTATCAGGTCGCGGTATGTTTCATCTCAACAATGCCGAAGTACCTACATTGTACAAGCGGACGGCCTAAGTGTTCAGCGAGTGAAATAAAAACTGGCTTGGTTCGTGTACAGAGGCCGGCGCGTGGCTTCGTAACGGCCCACTGTTTCATTACTAGATGACCGGACTGATGGGTGAAAAGGATCCTCATTCCTTTGTTGCAAAAATATATTTTTTAATCATTCAACGCTGTTATTCAATTTCGTAGTGAAAGCCGTTGCATCAAAGTTGATTTTGCAATGAGTTTTTTTTTTTTGTTATGCTGTAGGTTTTATTATGTAATTGAATTTTAAAATTCATCGTATAGTTATTTAAAAATAATTAGGGTTGAATTTAATACGGTTGGGTAGCGAGACCCGTGAAAATAGATAATTTCAAATAGATTGATGGACTTTCTGAGCTGTTTTTTTTCTTTCTCAAAATTTACTTTTGTTCAGGCAAAGCTTATCAATACAGTGTAATAGGAGTTTGAAGTATAAAGGGTCAAGGATTCAATTCTTAGTTAATGAGTGCAGATACAACTTTTGGATCATTGAGTTAACTAACTCGTTTTAGATGTACTTGATAATTAAATAGAAATAAATTTTAGTTTTTAAATCCGATTTATTTTCGTATTTATTTAGTTTTTTTTATGTAATTAAAACCAGGAACATCTTATTTTGTATCTTGTGGAAATTTTTAATTATTTCCGTTATTTAATTTCCTTAACAAGTACTTTAGCGTATTTAAATTAGATTCGTTTTAATGGCTCATACAAACAGGACGGGAGAGTCTAACCTAACGCGAGTAATTACATAAAATGTTTTGCGGTTTCGTTGTTCACCATATCGTTAAAATTTAATAAATAAAATAGTCTGGTTTGAAAAAAGCTTGATCTTACTTCATCGAGAATTTAAGATCAATAGCGGATATTTTTTCTACACAAATATGCTTCAGTAGTTTTTGAATGAAATCGAAAACTTCGAATTACAACCGTGAAAACGAAGTTAGTCATAATCCGAATCCGAGAAATTAGTAAAAAACTTTGTTTGACAATTTGTTCATTTGCTTTATCAATAACTTGACTATATAAACTCGAAGATATTTCTAGAGCGGGCCTTCCTATGTGATTATAAGGCAAAAGGCGGAAAGGGATTTTGTGCTTGGAAAAATTCACTTCGGTTCACTCACGTCGAAATGATTTTAGTCAGCGTTTTGTTTTGGGTCGTTGCTGCTATTTTTAATACAGACTTCTTGTAATCTCGGAGGAAAATATTTTTATAGAGATAATCCTTCAGTCACGCTTCATAAGTTTCATAAATTAATGATTTCCAGTCGTATGACATGACGTAGACAGGATATCTCGTTAGTTTATTTAATGCTCGATGACTTTAGGCGGATAAAGTTACATCGATGAAACGAACTATTACCGTAAGCTATTAGTATTATTCAATATATAATATTTTACTGGTGGTAGGACATCTTGTGAGTCCGCGCGGGTGGGTACCACCACCCTGCCTATTTCTGCCGTGAAGCAATAAATAATGCGTTTCGGTTTGAAGGGTGGGGCAGCCGTTGTAACTTACTTGAGACCTTAGAACTTATATCTCAAGGTGGGTGGCGCATTTACGTTGTAGATGTCCATGGGCTCCAGTAACCACTTAACACCAGGTGGGCTGTGAGCTCGTCCACCCATCTAAGCAATAAAAAAAAAGCCCGATGACTTTAGGCGGATAAAGTAAAATCGATCAAACGAACTATTTTCGTAAGCTATTAGTATTATTTAATATTTTCAAAATATAAAAATTCGTATTCTTACGCGTATTTTCTAAATTTGCGCTTTAAAATTCTTGCATTTAAAATTCTCGACTGTTCAAACTCAGTTAACATAATATTCGGATATCGACGAATGAACATTTAGTCGGCTGTGATCACGAAAACTGCAAAGTTAGTTTTGAAACATCGAAAATTTTCGAAGCGTCGGTAATAATAAAATACCCGTACCGGTACCAAAACCGTAATAATAGGTATATATAATAATAATATGTTGACGACTCGCAAAAATTGAAGAATACACTGAAATTCTTGAGATCGGCTCACAATTTGCTTTTTGGTATTGTAAACGATACATACATATGTAATCACAATAAATAAATAATTGACACACATGACAATCAAGAACTGTGAAAATAAGAAAATCGTCGACGTAAAAATGAAAGAACAGCCTATATTTTATTAAAAAAGAAATAATTACAACAGAATTTCCTCAAATAAAATTTATTTTACGTAGAATTAAATGCGATAAGAAAATTCGTGAGAAATCTTCATTGCTCTTTTTAATTCCACGGGGAAGTCCCATATACCAAAACCTGAAATATAAAAGAAGTTTTATTTGATTCCCTTTAAAATGTACATCAAGAATTTGTTAAAATTATTTCATTAAAAATATTAAATTTATGTACTTACCGCATCAGCGAACTCCAGCTTCGATAATTTCTTTTTTAGTATACCTCATAGTTCCCAATTTTTTTTAACTGCTCATTTAAATGGCTTTCACCAAAAATAACTTGTTTGTTTTAATTAATTCCTAATATCTGAGTTTTTTATTTTATTCTTTGTTAGATAAAAATGTTACAAAATTAAATTGCACAAATGAAATTACAGATGGAACCATTCCGAGTTGAAATATCACAATACTTTATTACTCCACAAAAGATGGGTTTCGTGTACACATATTCCATATTCAGTTATTGACTAACCCAATAATCCTAATGACTCGCGAACTATTCATTCCGCAAAAATAATCTAGGAAAAAAGTTGATCATGAAAAATGTTTTCCTTTCGAACGTAATTATTTGAAGGAAGATTAACTTTTATTTTTAATTTTCCTAATAAAGATGTTTAAGTACAGCTGTAATGTGAGTCTTCGACTCAAATTGCTTTTTAATCCAATGAAATGTTCACTTACCCTGAAGGCGGACGGTGCGCGGCGACGGAGCTGCCAACATCTCGACTGCAGCAAGCGACCTCACTGTTGAACTCCTCCACCACAACTGGTATTCCAGCGCGAAAACTTCGCTCGCACACGTCATCACTCACCCCATTGCTTCGCTAGCCAATCATCTAAGAGGGACACAGGCGAAGCCTAACGGTGCTGTCCGAGAGCCCCCGAACGGCTGGGGTGGCGATTGGATCTTTTAATCTGAAAAGTAAATGCATACAAAAAGTAAAAGAGTGCGCCGTCAGCAACCGGGCCATGTTAAGGGATATTATACGTACGATTTAGTGCAACAGGTAAAGTTTTTCGATACTATATTGGTGATTTTTACAGTTTCGTGGAGATTCATGTGAAGATAAATACTATTACATACACCTATACTTTGTACTATAGTTGTGTTTATTGTAAAACATGATTTATTTTACATTACCTTGAAACAAAACTTTGGTCATTATTCACGACAAATAGAAGCCTTAATCCACTCAATTATAATTGTTTTCGTTAATAAGTTTACTTATGTTCGAAAAGAACGCGAAAACTTCTACAAAATTATAAATTACCTGATTTACAATTCTAATTATTTGTTTCCAGCTTTAAGAGGGACTCAATTAAAAGATAATTTATTCGGGGGTGATTATTTTATGAATTACACCGGATTGAGGTCTTTTCTTTTATATATCGCAATTTTTTATTCAGTATTTTATAGAATGCGATTGGATATCATTACGTTTTATAAGTATTTTACTACTATATAGGTCTATATATTTTACTTGTTATTCTTCGATCTACAAAGTTGAATCATTCGTTGAATATTCGATTCGAATCAAGGATTTTTCTTGGAAATCCTGAGAACAATAATTAGTTGTTAGTGAAAGTAAAATTTTCTCAGACTTTCTCGAACGCTTAATGTTGTTCTATCTTATCTATTCATTAATAAATTTCGCGAACGAATACTTTAGACTCCAAATAATTTCAGTTTAAAACCATTTAGTTAAGCCATTACGATGGAGCACGTACATACAAAGGTCTATTAGATTACTTGTTTAATTCTTGACCGCGGCAGGAGCTGTTTGTAATCTAAGTTGTAAACTAAATCTTGGGACTGCCTCACATATCCCCCGTAAGCTGGGTTCGGTTGCTATTTGAATGCTTCTCCGACGACCACGAATTAGTATGCGCGCTTCATTCGGACACTGCGTTGGCCTCAACGGACTATTCCTACCTACCTATTCTGCTGAAATATACTAAATATGAAATATAACATATAGACAAATACTAGAACACACATATTATACTTACAAAATAATTCTGTATTTATTCTAAATTTTTTTAATGTTCATTAAAACAATTTGTTCTAAATAATAAAAATAAAATTATTGTTGTTTTTATTTATTGCCAACATGACTAAGTAAGCTCACGACTCATTCACTGTGAGCCGGTTAGAGTCGAATATGAAGTCCACAGAAATCATAACGTGAATACTATGACCCATCTGGAAACATGAGGTCGAAGTTTAAATTGCTTTGTAGCTGTCCTTCTCTTCAAATCGGTGAAATGAACGACGGTTTCGTTCCAGAAAAGGATAGAATTGTAGCTATACTATGGGCTTACTTTACGCCGCCGTACTACCAGCGACTACGCTTATCGCTATGAATCGGTTAGAGTCGAATTCATGTCCACAGACATTATAACGTGAATACCATGACCCATCTGGAAACATAAGGTCGAAGTTTAAATTGCTTTGTAGCTGTCCTTCTCTTCAAATCGGTGAAATGAACGACGGTTTCGTTCCAGAAAAAGATAGAATTGTAGCTATACCATGGGCTTACTGTACGCCGCCGTACTACCAGTGACTACGAGAAGTTATATGTTTTATTGATTATATTTCGATTAGACGATCTTATTCCTTCATTATGGAAGTCGTTAGACTACCAGTGCTAAGTACGTATTTAATTTAAAAAATTGATACCGGTCTGCGGAATTTTAACACGCCACATTCGCATCGCTTAATACGAATACATCGGCCGTCTTATCATTTAGGCCACGACGACTTCGTTTATAAGATAAAAATATATTGAGACCGTTGACCACTTCTTCTTTAATCGTTATTTTGTGGTGTCTATAAGTTCTGCTGACCACTTAACAGCAGAGAACAATAAATTCAGCAGACAAGCTAATCGCTTCGTGATCTTAAGAAGTCATCGCTACTCATCAAACAACGACAATGCCAACCCGCGTATTCTGCTTAAAATTTGTTCAAAAACAAAATGCTTGTGCAGCGGAAAGCACACAGCATTTTCCAAACATTTCCAAAATTTAGTCCTTGAGATAGGAGGTCGAAATTACAATAGGTAGGGACTATATTGGCGATAGATCTTACAAGCAATATTTACGTATTTATTTAAAATGTTGGTACCTGTCCCTGAATTCCGGCCTCGGGATATCATCACATCACTCTGTTTAAATAAACCGCTGAGTTAAATATTGAATCTGTATTTTAACTCCGCATTAACTACAATAAAATATTTCAAACATACAATTTTTTTTATGACGTCACATCTTACCCATAAAATTTCTTAATTTGTAATGGAATTTGCTACAGAATAAACCCTTGGCTTGGTTCAATTTGTAAGCGGGATCTTGGGATTCCCTCATTTTGTGTATTACAGAACTAGTACGGAATCATTCCGGAGCCGCCAGGATATGTAAATATGGATTCAAATACGCATTCGAGCGAATTAATGTCTTGGCTTACACAAACTACTGTTTAAGTTTTGTTAGCTTTACTTTTTCTATCGTTAAAATAACATATTGATGATTTTATTTGCCCTAAAAGTCAATTTAGTACCAAAACTGATTATTACTACAGATGCTCGTAGACATTAGCATTGTCAGGAAGACTGGTTGCCGCAAATTGACATGAATGTCTCTAATACGCTTTTATTCGCTTCAGACGTATGTATGTTTGTAACGGAATCTTTGAACATGATTTTGACCCCCTTCAAAACGTCGGATTAACTCGAAATTTGGTGTACTTATTAAGGACTGATGATAATTCAATATTAAAAAAATTCGTTATAAATATTTTATTAACAGATGTGAGTACAAGGGCTATTTTGATAATATCTTGAAAAGCACCCCACGCTTTTTTACAATAAAATCATTTTTTCCTACACTATTTCTAATTTAAATTTATTTTCTATTTGTTAGTTGGATTTTCTATAAAAGCGTATTTTGTTAGTTTTTTTAAACTATTATTTATTTTAGACATGTCACGGCATGATGTTATGTGGTTATCGGAATATCACAACATGAATTCAACCGCCTACATGAAAATCTGTCATAACTGTATGATGCGATGATAGTATGCATGATGCTCAATGGATTCCAGCACCAAAGAAAAAAAAAGCAGCCACTATCATTTGACGGTGTAGATGAAGTGCCACTGCTTTCACTGTGAATAAATTATCTTAGTTCTGTACAATATTATACAAAAGTAAACTGAGCATTAGATTAGGCCAATGCTCCTTAGTGAAACAAAAAAAACTGTGCCGATGAACAAAAAGGTTATAGTTTCGAGCTAAGCCTATCTGAAATTCAAGAATATGCTTGGCAGCAACTTAGCCCATGTGTTGAAAGTCTTAAAAGAGCTAAAAATCACGTTGCTTGCATCCTAAGCTGAATGCGGATTCAAAATTTAAGAAACACTTTCTAGTACGCACGCATTACCGATGACCATTCTACATCAAAATGAGGGGCCATTACATTTTTCTGAACAGGGTGTGAGTAAAGTTGCTTAAAATATCATATTAGGCAGACTGTTCTTTTTAAATACACTTTCTCTGATCGAAGATAGTTTTAAGCACTGGATAAAGGAATCAGACCCACTTAATGAAGATGATGTTGAAACTAACTGCGTTCCTTCCTCTACTCGTGATGCTAAAATCAAATACAGCAGCTCTGAATCAGTCTACAAAACTCAAAAAACATTAAAAAAACGTTTACAGACTTGATTCCGAAAGTACCTAGCCATTATTGTGAAGAGATTTCAATTCAGCTAAATGTTAAGTCAAAGCTCGCCCAAGAAACTCTTAAGCTGTCAAATCGATTCATTTTGACCTCTGTCAGAATTATGAAGAAATTGAATCTAATTTCAAGTCTATAAGACACGGTAAGAAAGGGGATCCAGTTATAGGGGATATAAGGGGGCTCAAATATTTACCAGATGAGTCTGTGTTATACAAGCTGCAACACGACGATGAATACTACCCCAAAGAAGAGCTACTACTGGTCGAGAAATATTCACTCAACAATCGACCCCTTAATATTACGGAAAGAAAATCTTGAGATCTTGTTCAACAAAAAATATACCTAAAAGTCAATCCATTCATTAATATTTGTTTCCTTTATTAAACATTACATTATGTATTTTTGGTAACTCGCGTAAATCTTTAGAAGGTATTTGTTATATGTTTACGCTATATCTTAGCAAATAATTATTATTTTCCGATAATGTTATTGTTTCCGATAATGTATTGTATTTTCCGATAATGTTACTTTAGGATTGATTCCATAACAGGCTGTTTCTGTTAAGCGTTCGAAAAATCTTGTTCTACGAACATAATTATGCTAAACAAGGTAGCTATTAAATGCTAAGTGTTTGCACAAACACAGTTGTATAGAGAGTACGGCTGACACAAAGTTCCGAAGTGGTCTCTTACGTATCTTGATGTAGTTTCCCTTATCTTAGGCCCGGAGAGCATTGTTTCCATTAGAACTAAAACAAGAGGCAACCGCGCCTACTATATTAAGGTGTTCTTGCGAGGTTCGTGTCTTGTATGCACTGCAACTATGTCGGTGACTTCTAACTTGATTACGAATTGAAATCAGATTAATGTTTGTGATGATCAAATGCAAACAATTCGAGCGCTAAATTAGAGTGCTAAATTTTGAAGCCGAATTAGATTGTTATTTATGGTACGTATATGCGAAAAGCCTTGACCGTTTTACTTATTAAATTTAGCAAAAAAAAAAGTAGTATCTTAGATTCAGATCAGATTCAGATTCAGATCAGGACCAGTGAACCACTTTTCCTACAATTTCAGTATGTATAGAATACATTAACCTTATGGAAATGACAATGTCAGTAGATTAGGGGTTAGCTTTCAAACCATTTTTTTCATAAACAAAATGAATCGTGCAAG